ATATTAATGTCATGGGTAACACATGTAAGGTGAGATTCACTCACAGTCCCTGAGTCTGTCACTGTGGTTCCACCCTTCTGCCACTTCACAGCACTTACAGCCTGCTCTGGTTACTAATGGGCCACATTAACCCCTGGAGTCTCTGCATGTGTGTGTTGTGCATGCATGTGTGTACAAGCATGTGTGTCAGTTCATTGAGAGACAATGAGAAAATGAGTCGGGAAGGCAAGAAGGCGGATAAGGGCAAGTACGATTGAGAAGTGAAAAGAACAAGATAGGGAATATAATTAATCGTGCCAAGTGTGTTTGTGTGTGTGTCTGCGTGTGTGCAAGCGCGCATGGTTCTTATCTCTGCCCTCCAGAACATTTTTAACAGATTGGGGGATCCGCATTTACATACAAGCGCACAACATGAAACTTATAACTTATACACAATCATTTACTCCACCACTTATCTACACAGCAACACCGCGCACGCAGATACTAGTTCAACAAAATATTTATTCAGCCACAACAGAACAATGCACAGCCTCTTTCTGGTGACATGTAAATGTGCCATACGCAGGCACACATGAGCAGAGCCGGTCTGGGCCTCACATGGTTTTACATTCCAGTTCAGAGTGAACTCCTTTTGTCTTTCCTGCATCTGTCTGTGCTGCGAGGGAATGAGCACAAAGCAGATAGATACTTATTGCGCACTCACTTTTGCCTGCAGTCATCTAATCTGGAAGCAATAGTGATGAAAGTTTCTCCATAAACACAGCAGTGTATAGAAGCTATGGTGGGGTAGTTTTTTACTTAAATAAAAAAAAAAGGAGGGTAAACGAATAAGTATTACTATTGTATTTGAATTTTTAAATAGAAGGAAGCTATATATGCTACCAAAATATTGGCTGTTGACCAACTCAGTCTAAAAATATCAGAGCTGGCCCATGTTGGTCAAGTTTTTCCAGTGGGGAACAAATGCAGAGCAGAGGTCTGACAGTGGCTGACTGCTCAGTGTTGTGGTATTTATGGAGGCTCTTCAGTCAGCCAGCGCCTGTGTGCATGTGTGCCTGAGATAAATAAGTCCAAGTAAACATGTTTCATTGTCAACAGCAGCGGATCATTCGGGAGTCAGGCATCAAGTGTGCACCGCGCCCCTCTCACATTCTCTGGCTGAGCAAATCCACAAGCTATTTTGTGTCTTCTGTCACACACACATGCTGCACACACACACACTACCCTTCCTTTCTGCAACAACTAACCCCAACCCGCACTGGCTGGGATTTCATGTGAGTGGCATGATGTGTGCGGGGAATGATGCGTATGAGTGTGTGTGTGTGTGTGCGCGCACGCGTTTGTGTGAGGTTGTGTAAAGCTATATCTTTGATATTATTATTATCGATTCTAAACGGCCATGCCAGCATTTCATCAGAGGGCCATGGGAAGAGGATAAAGGATAGCCTGGATGGATTATGCATTATGTTAGATCTCTGCAGATCTGCTGAAAGTGTGTTTATCAGTTTGTGTGTGAGTGTGCGTCTCTGCACACGTTTTGTGGCTCCACTCATATGAGCAACACAGGAGCAATTCTGCTAAACAAACATAACCTAATCATGGATTGGCAGCACAGATGCACTGTAAAATGAGGGAAAACACACACACACAGATACACGCAGATGCGCACACACACACACACACACACATACACACACACACACACACACACACACAACAGGTAGCAGATATTAGACAGCCTTTCAAACGGTGCTGTGTAAATGACTGACAGCTCAGCAGCTGCTTCCTCAGATAGACATGACAGATAGACGGGGCCAGGTCTGATTGTGATCCACTGCCAGCAGCTCTGCATTAGCTGCTTGTCTGATTATCTGTCTGTGGGACTGAGCTCTCTCCTACATGACCATCAATCCCTTCACAATCTCTCTCTGCATCGTCAGGTCATCACTCCTCTCTAATTGTCTGTCCGTCTGTCTGTTTATCTGCCTCTCTTCTGTTTTGTCCATCACTCCCATCCTCATCCACTGACTCAGCATCATCAAGTTGGACCATCTCTCCGCACATACAGTATGTCTTCTTGCCTCAACCCTATTTGTGTCTGCCCGCCACAACAGAAAGAAAAGTAGGATATAACTGTACTAAGGGACTTCTGTCATGGCATATCAGAGCAGTTTTTGAACTGGCTTTGTTTAGTATGTGTTTGAGTCATGAAGCTAGAAACTTAAAGCAGGAGAGGAGGACCAGAATTGGCAAGAGAGGCTGTGAGAAAGTCAGAAACCCCAGGAGAGAGAAAGACTGTGTATGAATAAGTTTGAGTTAAAAGATCCATAATTGGGTGGGTGGAGAGGCAATATTGTGGCGGAGCAGGCTCTAAGTGGCTCATTTTTCACACTATTCCTTAGACAACTGGCTCAAGGAGACACACACAAAACAAAGTCCAATTCACCCCCTCCTCCTCCACGGCTTCTGTCATACAGTAAGTAATGGGTTTGCAGTTCCCCCTGAGTTTCTTAGGCTGAGGAGGGTCCTATGTATCTCAGTGTATCTCAGTCCCAGCAGCCGACCCCCTGGGAAAAAGCAGTGGACAGTATCAGCAGAGAAAACAGAATGACCTCTATTGCAGACACACAGTAGCACAGAGCGGGGCAGAGAGAGTCAGCATGAAACAGAAAAAAAAAACCCACACTCGCACGTGACTGCAGAGGTGAATGAAGACTGGGGAGGGAAGAGAAGGAGGAGAGACAGTCAGATACAAGCAGAGGAGACACTACAGATACCTATCTTGAAAGAGACAGACAGAAAGCTAGGGGGGACAGACAGAAACTTGACTGCAGAAAGCTCCTCTGCAGTAAGTGGTTATTGATTGTTAGACAAGGGCCAAAAGGATTCCATGGCCAGTGAACTGACACAGGATGCTGGATGCTTCTTTCCTCCTTGCATAATTGCAAACGCAATGAAAAGCACAAGCAGAAATGCATTTAACAGCCAACAGATTCTGCTTAACTGCAGCATGCACCGACCAAGACTAGACTTAAAGTGTACAGCAGCAAAAAGGAACACGCGGCTGTACAAAAAACGTATCAGGAAGACTGTGTATTGACGATGCTCCGCAGTCACACTGAGGAGGACCTCTGGCACATCAGTGACCTTTTCACTACTAATGATCAGAGACGGCTGTGGTTGTAACAAGAGTGGCTTCCAATGCACTGCACACGCACACACATATACACAGAGATAGAGACACACACAGAAATGCAGGATGTGCTCCAGGAATGGAAAGATCACATCTGCCTTGCTCGCTCAGTCCCTGACTGATGCTGATGCCGGTGACCTTTTAAATCAACACGAGAGTAAAATCTAAACTCTAGCTCTCTCACATCAGGAAGCAGCCTGTCATTAAGTAAAGTGAAGGCAATCAACAGACAGAGATGAAGGTAGTTGTTTGGTTCATTTGTGCATGGATAGAGTTTCAGCGGCGATAAAAAAAAGTTGATTATAGGAAGTGGTCAGAGCTACCAGTCTGTCGGTCAAATGTGCCCAAACTAAGAAACCAGTATGACTGGCTGTCACACACACTCAGGCTCTATGGCCCCTGTTCTTAAGGGGACAGCATGCTGAGGAAAACATTTTTTGGTAGCTGTCCTTTCTTTTTTTAGCATTTTTCTGAGGTTTGTGTGTGTGTGTGTGTGTGTGTGTGTGTGTGCATGTGCATGCGTGAGTTTAAGTAGAATGCATGGTGAACTTCTTCCTGAAATAGAAATATGAATGCATGATAGACATGTCTCTGCTATGTGGACTGGCATCCACATAAAGCCAACAGCTTTCTGTCAAAACCATGGCATCTCATTAAAATAGTAAATATCCTCATATTTAAGGGTCTTTTCTGCTCCATAATTCAATTTAAGTTTGGCTATTTCTTTGCCGCCAACTGAAGGTGTTTAGGAAAGATTTATTCACATGAGAGGGGAAGGGCTGATGACTGCATGTAAGTCTTTATTTGAAGTAATATCCCACAGTTCTCACATTGTCCCCACTCTGAGGGGCTGGATAATAAGTCACAGTGCTGTCAGACAACATGAAACCGAGTTACTATCCCCCTACTAATGTCACCTTTTACTCCAGCAACACACACACAGCACAGAGAGGGCCACAAAGAGTAAAGGTGACAAAGAAACAAAATCATTAGTTGCTCTTATTATTGACCTGGTAATTATGCCCTCAGGAACTTTAATTAATATGTTAATGTAACAACATCTGTCCCCTAAAGTAAAAAAGGCACACTTACCAGTTACAGGCAACATTGTATATTATATATTGTGTACAAACTCCACTTACAAATCTTGCAATTTAAAAAAATTATGTTTATTGGTAGAAGATTTGAATTTGTAGAACGAGACCTAAAAGATTTCACAAATCATTAGGTGCCACTCTTTAATTCGGCATATACCTTATACACCAGTTAAACAATTTCCACCAGTAAATTCATCTTTTAGGACTAGTTCATCTACTATTAAATCAATCATCTTCCACTTAGAGAGAAACGTGGTGGACGGTACAGAGCACTGTGTGTCAGTTCTAAAAGTTGTAATTTCATTAATTAAACCCGCTGGTTCAATCATAAACATATCTCATTGAATGAAAATAGTCTCTGATCAGGTTCAGTCAGGAATGCCTTGAGAGATAAACACATAAAGACTTGAGAGATAAACACATTTTTAAATGGCAGGGTTTGCAATAGCACCGTTGCGTCTATCCAAACAGAGCTAACAGCACGTTATCAGAGTGGACTTGCTCCAATCAGCTGGAGTCAATGCGATGTCTCCAAAGCCGCTGCTCTGCGGCTCATTGTAGGATCACAGGAGGCTTAATACGTGATCTGACTGACAGTGACGAATTAACGCAAAGTGTGACGAGTATCACAAGTGACTGACATTTTCCATTCCATCTCAAACTTAATCCTCCTCCGAATCTCTCGGCAACAAAGAAAACAACACGCTTACCCTTTGGTTGTTTGAGTTGTTCATCCTATTCGAAGAGGAGCACTCCGCTTCCCAACTCTCCAAAACTGGCAGCACGGGCGCTTTACGCAACACCAGTGACCGTTCAACGTCCCACACGAAATACCTTAACTCAGATTTTCCCTTTCAGGCACCTCCATTTATAGGCAACATGAAATATCCACTGAGAATCCGGACCCAGCTGCCGGTTATTAACCTCAGAAGTTGTTAAGGATCCGCGCAGAAAATACAAGCCACACTCTTGGCGTTTTGGGGGCGATAGCGGTCATGTGTTTCAGCCTCTCTGTGTGTTGTCTTCATCATCATAATCATTGTCGTCGTCGTTGTCCTAGTAGCTCCTTAGCTCCGGTCCGGACTCACACACACGCAAACACACCACTACCAGCACAAGGGAGGATAAAGGCTGACCGACTGATGGACCAACCGAGAGCCAATTCCGAGGAGGCGGGTGTGTGTGTGTGTGTGTGTGTGTGTGTGTGTGTGTGTGTGTGTGTGTGTGTGCGTTTGTGCCTAATCTGTCTAGCTGCGCGCAGGCAGAAGAGAGTGAATTGACATTTAAGACACTAGCTCCCAAAGCTGTGTCCAGGGACCTCCAGGGGTCCTTGAGGAAAGGAGGGGCAAATATCAGGAACAGGGTCGTCCCACTGTCATTAAATGAGGTGATGTTTTGCTCACGAGGTTTGCTGTTGCCAGTGCACCACAGCAAACGCAGGCATGCATTTCAGTGTTTCTCATGGGGTCCCAGGGTCCCTTGAAAATTTTACAAAAGGGCATTGCACAGTCTTGAGCTATTTGGAAGAAACTGACATAAGAAGGATTTGGCAGCCCTCAGTTTGGCCATAGTTTGAAGTGGGTTGCAAGAGTGTCAGTAAAATCCACTGCGGCCGCTCTGGTGCCTACACCACCCACAGTGGAAAAAACATGTTTTTCTTTTTTTTTAAAGTTATGACTCAAGTTTTTGCACAAGGCACTGGTCAATATGCTGTTTGCAATGCTGCACAGTGCAGCCAAAACATCCCCATTTCTCAACATGTCCTTACTTGTGCCCATGACTCAAATAAGCAGCTAAAATACTGTATGTTGGTGAGCATTACCTCTGCATTTATCAGGAAGGTCGTACGTCAAATACATGGACAGCCTTGAGTGTCCTATGTTTATTCATTATTGCAATAAAAAACAAAATCTCCATGCAATTAAACTGTAAATAATGCAGCTATTTTAGGTGAGATATCGTGAAGTGAGTCCATATGGACATATACTGTAAATCACTTATGACCCTATATCATGAAGATTATTTTGTAACAAAAAAAAAAGAGAAGGACAACAACTATAATATAGTCGCCATACAACCAGCATACTTCAAACTCTTCCCACAATATATAGGTTTATTATGATGATTTGTTGGCAATAGCAGCTGCATACCCATAACTGTACTCTAAATTAGCAGTCTAATGTGTTCCAATGTGAAGACACCACAGTGTGCATAAACAACATTGGCAATCATTGGTGCATGTATGACATATCTCTCTCTCTCTCCTTCTTCTCTCTCTCTCTCTCTCTCTCTCTCTCTCTCTCTCTCTCTCTCTCTCTCTCTCTCTCTCTCTCTCTCTCTGCTTATAGCCTGGCCCATATGTGCACACTGGGAAGCTGTTGTGCAGCAGAGCGTGTCGCCTTGTCGACCGGTGATGTATGAGAGTGATTTGTGGGCAGGTGGAAACGGAAAACTGAGATGAGTCCGGTTAAAATGAAGTGATAATAAAACAGGGATGAATCAGCTAACTGAGAGTTTGGCTCCAGGAAATCCGCACTGGAAAACTAATAATAGTGTCCAGGACATATTTTGCAAACACAAGGAGGGACGTTACAAAAATATACCTCTGCAGGAAACAACTGTAAAGCATCAAACAATGTTCCCATTTTTGCTTTTTTAACATCTCCCTAAATATCAGCAGGGCAAAATGGATACAATCTCAGTGAAGCAAGACAAAAAAAACACAAATGCTTGTTTTGTTGTGTGTGTTGTGTGTTTGTGGGTGAGTCAAGAAGTGGAATGAGATACACGGTCCAGAGATGCAGCAGATGACGTGTAGGAGGATCAGGATGGAGGAGGAGAGAGTCAGTCTGTGGGCAGCCTTAGTTAATAGCAACATGGAGGCAAAGTCCATCTCAACGGTGCAACAATACATCTGTGCACCTGGCCGGGTGAATACAGAGCTCTAGCTCTAGCGAAGGACAACAGAGGAAAAGGTGCTTTGTCATGAAGTTCACTTCACGGTGGGAGCAGAGGACAGAGAAGCTCAAGGCATCACACACCAACAAGAATATTAACAAAGTCCTACAGGATTTACAATTTGCCTCCAACCCTCTCTCTCGCTCTCTCTCTCTCTCTCTCCCTCTCTTTGCAAGTAGACGTGCGCAACAAAAACAAGATGAGCCTTGATAACGCAGGACTTAGTGCTGTAAATATCCTACAGTTAATCAGATTAAGGTTTCATCAGCAAGTAGCTGTGCCAGGGAGCCAGCCAGAGAAGTGCTGTCAGAGACAAATTTACACTCACAGTTCACCGGTGGGGCAGGGGTGTGTGTGTTGTAGCTCACAGATCATATGTGAGCTGCGACACCAAATGCAAAGATGTAGAGAACAGACAGATAAAACCGTGGTGGATTATTAAACTCTCCATGTCCTCCTGTTAAATACTAAGATGCGACTGTCCAGACAACAACACACAAACTGAATTTGTGAGAACATTCAAGGAATCTGGATATACGATTTTCCCATGCTCTATGACTCAGTGGGACCAGCTGAATGAATGATAGCATCATTCCCAGTGTCATTACACTGCATTTCACAGGATGAGAGGACATTCCTCCAGCCAGACTAACCTACTCAGCCCTCTCCCTCTGAGACTCAAGCATTTCCTATTGACTCACAGACAAAGTGCTTTTCCTCAAACAAGTATTTCTCTTCCTCTCTGCTGCTACTGCACATCCTCAAGACCACTTCCTTCCCACTGTAGATATACATAAATACAAGCCTTCTGTAGCCACGTGTCTCTTTCCCTCCCATTTCTGTTCAACCTGTAATCTCTATATTTAATGTTTTTTTTTTTTTAAGATGGCCTATGTAGGAGCAACTGCACAGCAACTAAGCTTAAAAAAACTCACACTGTGTGTTTGTGCAGATTTGAATCTGGTGCCTTGTTGACAGTAGCTGTTGTGGGACAGAACAATGTTTCTCTTTCACATATTTTAGACATTTTTTTCAAAGCCCTTTGTTTTAAGAAAGGTCTCACATTACCGTTTCACATAGACTGGCTCAAATGAAGCACTGAAGCACATGGATAAACTTTGAATTGCTTTATTGCAAAGTGTCGGGAATAAGAGACTGGAGTGTGACACCTTTCTCTTCCCGTTACCACTACATCTTTAGACTGCTATATCTTCAATGGAGACACAACATTGACAATTATGAAGCTATGCAGCTCGGTACATGTGGATTATACTGCAGTATAGTTTAGTGTACGTAACTTTAAATATTATAATACAGATCTGCAGCTATAGTTTGCATTTATCTTTAATTTACTTCCTACCTTTTCTCATTCATATTCACAGCAGTGCCCCTTGTGTTCACATGTAAAATGGAAGGAGAAAAAATGTATTCACTCATTTCTTCAAGATGGTTAGCCTATCAGCCTCCTATTGGTCATAAGAGGGAATGGCAACATCTACGGACAGAAACAGGATCATTCACTCCTCTCCTTTACTTTCATTGCTGAACTGTGCCTCATGTCTAAACTGTGTCCATATCGTTATGTGTCTGTTACGGTTTTGTCTCACACAAGCATAAGTGGCATGTAGAGACTTGCTTTCTTCCCAGTGTCAGGCAGCCTGAGGTGCTGTAGAACAGCTCATGGACATAACGGGTGTCTAACTTCCAAGTATGCCAGGAGTGGACTAGAGCCTGACACAGCACAGTCATGACATCACCATCACAGAGTTACTGATTCAAGCTCCTAATCACGTATAAGACGTGATATTCATTCACCTCTTGTTGGCAGTTGAAATACTAATTAGGCCATGGAGCTACACTAGCCTGTAAATCTGGATTATAAAATCTGCGTGTATACCCCGTCTACTGCAGTCACAATCCCAACACCTACATTTATCAAGACCAAGATTCAAGAAAGCTTTATTATCTGTCACAAAGTAACAGAAATTGTCCTTTGACGAGGCTCAACAGGCTCAATCACTACAACAGCATCAACATGTGCAACTTGAGAACCCTAACAGCACCAGGAAACAGTGGTGCTCAGCAATGGCAAACTATACCTCAGTATTATGCAAATGAAATCAGAGCTAAATATACTGACTGTCAGGCTTGATTGATCACACTGTGACAGCTGTGGTTGCCAACTGTGAGGACAGTGAGGACTGTGTGTGTTGGACTAAAACAGTACCTCAATAAACTTACACATGAATGTTACATAACCACAAACAGTGACATACTGACCAATGACACAGTGCTTCAAAGGGGCTTGGTGTAACAGGGGTTAATAGGGGTTTTCAGTCCGGTTTGTTATCTGTCTCAGCCAATCATACTGAGACAAGCTACTCCCCAGAACCAATAGGAATCCCTGCCCAGGTTCTTAGTCTGTCCCAATAAAGGTAAGATGGATTAACCTTTTCGTCTCCAAGTGATGACAAGATTAGAAACACATACGCTGTCATATGGACACAGTTCAACCCTGACAACCTGAGGAGGCTCTTCAAGCTTTGGTTTAATAGCCTCACTAATAGAAGGGGTGAGGGAGGACACGGAGGGTCACAGAGTCAAAGGTGTGTGTGTGCTTATGTATGTTTGTGTGTCCAAGGAGAGAGCAGAAAGAAGAAAAGATACTGCGACAACACATGAGCACAACAGCCGGGGTCAAACAATGTACACCCCTCCCACATACAGACACATCTTCCCATAACGTGACCCTGAGCTTTTGACCCCATCTCCCAAACATGACATCATCCAGCTCTTGGAGGAGTTTCTTCCACTGATCTCATCATGGTGAGACAGAGAGGCCGTCTTTGGGGAAGGGGTGTTGTTTTGGGAGTGGAACAGCTCAGC